CACAACACAAGCTACAAAACCAACCCCAGTGTTCAAAGACAAAACAACTGCACCCTCTGAAACATCTTCTGAAAAAGGTAAGGATCAATACACTACATTCACTTCTGTTCATTTAAGATGAAGTTTCATGATGTTCTCCTGATCTCCTAACATCTGCAGGAAAAGAACTGTCTCTTAAAACTACTCTTTATAAATAGACAACACTTTATAAGAGCTAATAAATGATCCAGATGGTTAGTAAGTAAAGCAGTAAAGCTTAAAATTAGTCTTAGATCATGTGGAGCGTCCACCAGACTACTCCCTGTGAATGAGCTGTTACTATAGAAACGATAACGTATTAGAAGAAGCGCATTAATATGAACCTGTGATGTGCAGCTGCATTACTGTCAGAGCTAGAAAATGATTACGCACCGATGATTAATCTGACCAATCAGGATGGAGAATTAAACTCCCATGTGTCCTTTTCACTTCTGTTCTGTTCCACACAGAGACCCCCACAAACCCGGATCCTCACCACACCACCATCATCATCTGTACTGCTGTTGGGGTTCTGCTGCTGCTGCTGATACTCGGAGGAGTCATGTACTGGAAACACAGAGGTATACACACACACACACACACACACACACACACACACAGATTTCTGCAGTCTCACTCTGTCTGGTTTCATTCTGTAGGACAGAGACGAGGACAGACTGAGATCGGTGGTGGACAAACAGGACAGAGGACACAGCAGATGCAGGTGAATACACACATCCATGTGGTGTGTGTGTGTGTGTTTGTGTTTGGTCTAATGCAACATGTGTTTTTTCTACAGAATGATTCTGATGTTCTGTACACAGCTATAAATCCACAAACGAAATGCAACAAAGCAGAAGGAAAGGTGTGTATCATTCTAAAAGTGTGTGTGTGTGCGTGTGTGTGTGTGTGTAATAACAGGTTGTTTATGTTGTATTCCTGCAGGATGAGGTGATGTACTCGACTGTAGTCCACAGTAACACTGTGAGAGCAGCTCACCCTCCAGTGGCATCAGGAGATACTACATTATATGCCAGCATCAAAACTAACTAACACACACAGACACACACACGCACACACAGACACACAAAATCTTTGTACTATATTTGTGAGGTTTTTTCACTGCTTTAATTGCAATTTCAACTGCTTTATAAAGTGTCTGCAACCTAACATTTAAAAAAAACAATATTTTTGTATAGCAATAATAATTGACTATATCTGAAGAATAATAATACTTCTCTTTGCTCTTACATATTCAGTTTAAATGCTTATTTTTTTGGCATTGTTACATTTTGCATTATCGTTAGATCTTTAAAGCAGCAGTTTGATCCTCATCTCCAACTTCAAGCTCTCTGCTGAAACTGTGTATGCATCATGGGTTGTGTTTTAGGAAACGTTTAGAGCTGAAGGAAGTCTGTCTCGGCTGAGGCTGAGGTGATTTCTGGGCTGTAAAAAGACCTAAAAGGATGCCTAATGTCCAAGAATCCAATTTTTACAAATGATCTTTGAAATGATATGATTCTTTTAGGTCTATACACGCCTGTAAAAATGACAAAAGCTCACGGCTTTGGATAAAATAGACTTCCTTGGTGTTTTTAGCAGTAACAGTTTCTGTGCATGTTTATTTCTATTTCATAAATAATAAAAGCTGAACAGCTCACAGGGGACTGTCTTCTTATTCTGCATTTTCATACATAACACAGAGTCCTACAGAAGAAAATGAGCATTTTACACTAGTCGAGTCAGAGTCACTGTAACTAGCGATCAAATCTTTATTAGTGTTGAAATATTGTATGTTACTGAAGAAAGTATCCAGGTCCCCGGAGGACTAGTGGTTAGGCTACAGCACTCTTATTGCCGTGGCCCGGGTTTGATTCCCAGCTCCTGGGGTTGTGTGCAACAGTGTGTGCTCACAACGCTGGGAAAAAAAAATTGGGGAGGGTTGCATCAGGAAGGGCATCTGGTGTTAAAAAAAAACTGTACCAAATCAAATACTTGGACCAATGATCTACTGTAGTGACCCCTAACGGGAGCAGCTGATAGAGGAACAGCACTGATGAAAACTTTCACTCATAAAACATATGTGGTCCAAGTTCTTTGATCTTTCATTATTAAGGTTTGGATTAAACCCATTTAATTCTCATGATGTACTTTAATATAAGATAAAATGTACTTTATCTTTTTACTTTTTCACATCAATAAGATGAGAAGGTTTGTGAGTTTTGGAGTTACAGGTTGTCCTGAGGATGCAGAAGATAGGGATAGGTGGAGAGTGATGATTCGCTGTGGCGACCCCTGAAGGGAAAAGCCGAAAGAAGAAGAAGAAGAAGAAGAAGAAGAAAGAAGGTTGTCATCTCCTCACCATATCAACAATTATACATAAATATTAAATAAAAACCTGTTTTAAATGTGTTTTTTATTTGGCTGAGGTTATGTGGAGTGAAAGACTTGCTGCCTCACAACTTCAGGGTCCCCTCCGGTGAGTGTGACCTCCGCTGGCAGGGAGGAGAAATGTCCTGAGTCCTCATGACACGAATTTAATACCTCGTCCGCCTGCTAATTGGAAAAATGAAGCTAATAAACTAAACAAACTCCAGAATATAATATCCACAAGTTATGCATTTAGAGTTATAGCTGTCTCGTTCTCTTTATTTCCTGATTTCATATTAAATGTCTCATCAGTGTCTTTTCTCTTTTTGTTGTTTATTATATGCAAAGCGTTTGGGATCCATGTGTTTCTCTGCAGCATTGTGCTTCGGCCTTCTGTGAATTTCACTCTTCTGCCTGGTCATTGACACACTGCTATGTTTGCAGTTAGCACTTCCTGTGAAGGCCTGAATGTTGTAAAGTGCGAAGCTTGCAGTGTGTGTTCTATAGAGTGTGTTCATTCTGATCAGACACGGTGCAGCAGTTGGTCAGTGTGTGTTTAGCTCTAATTCTCTCTTTGGATTAATGTGTGTGTTTGGGTCCTCAGTGAGAATGCAGGTGTGTTTTCTTCTCCTCCTTATACAGCTTCATGTTACTGAAGGTGAGTAATACTCACTTGGGTCTGATTCTGCTAAAAATATTTTGAATAGATAGATAGATAGATAGATAGATAGATAGATAGATAGATAGATAGAGTTGCATGTGACTGTGTGCTATGTTGAAACAGATGAAAGAGGAAGTAGCAACTGAAAAAAGTAGTGGAAACTATTACTTCACTACATGTGGTGTGTGTGTGTGTGTGTGTGTGTGAACATATGACCGCATTTCCACACAGTGTGTCTCTGCTTATGGACATTAATGAGTTGTGTGCATTAGTTATTAAAAATGCTGGTGTGTTTTTATGTTCTCCTTCTTCTCCACATCACTAAAGGTGAGTCTGCTGTTCTCTTTCTCTCTCTCTCTCTCTCTCTCTCTCTCTCTCTCTCTCTCACACACACACACACCTATGTAATACTCTAAATAATTACAAATATGTAAGTTTTTACCATTTAAAACCTTTAAAGCTTAACATCATGTAGTAATCGTACTTATGATGAGGAAGTGTAAAGTGAACAAATGAAATGATTTGGGTGAGTTTTTTGCTTTTCTGCACTCACTACTGAGCTATCTATATCTATATCTATATCTGTATCTGTACCTGTATCTGTTTAGTGCTCTAAATATCCATTTCATTATCTGGATTTAAACTTAAAGTGTAAATTTACAGCATTTATTTTACAGCACTATACTGTTTTATTATTTTTCCAGGATTGGAAAAATTAGAGCATTGGTTTACAGTAAAATATAAAAAAGTGATGCATAGTGGGATATCTAATGTTTTATTGAAATCCCAGCACCATCAAGCTGCTGTGGTTAACCTTCAACTGCATCAATTTTATATGATAAAAGCATCAGGCAAACATAGTGGATTATATTTTATTCTCAAATTTATAGTATATTACAGGAAGCATACAGTGATATTAAAAAAAGTTACCTGTAAATAATGTATATCACAGTACTTTACTGTTAATATGTTTAACAATATTTTGTGAACTATCTGTGAACCTTTCAGCTTTCTAAACAAGAATAAATGAATGCAGCACCTCAGATACTGACTTGTATCTGTATTTGTATCCATTTAGAGGTTGTTACCTATTCATGTTTTCATATTCAGTTACATTCAGGACATTAGTGAGTGGTGGATATTAGTGACTGGTGGACATTAGTGAGTGGCGGACATTAGTGAGTGGTGGACATTAGATAGTTCCCCTTCAGGAACTCGAGCTGCGTCGAAACGCCTTGGAGCAAAGCCCGCATTGCGAGCATTTTGCCGCTGCGTGCGCTCTCGGAAGGCTTTCTTTGAGGAGGGAGCCTTCATCAGCGTTCCTCGCGGTGCTGGCCCCGCTTCTGCTGGTTACACTCGTGGGGTTTTGCAAATGGATCTGGTGGAGGGAATGGAGACGGGCGAGTCCCTTTCTTCTTCCTCACCAGATCCACTGCCCGCTCTCTGGGATCGGAAGCCCGCGCTGCGGTTTCTTCCCCCCGGGGAGAGGGCTCGGCGGTCCGCCTGTCTTCCTCCGAGGAGGTTGACGTGGAGGGCGTCGTTGAGGATTCGCCCCCTCAATCTCCCCAGTATGAGGGAGCAGTTGGAGGTGGTTACTCATGCTGTGGCCGAGCTAAACATTGACTGGCCCGCTGACAAATGGGCTGAACCGCAGAAAAGCAAGCTCGGTGAACGCTTTCTGCAGAGTATGCCGCCACCTCCACGCCGGAGCCTCCTTTTCTTCCACGACTTCCACACCAAGGTTTTGAGGCCCCTCTGGGGAAGAGAGGTGCACACCTCATCATACAGTGCCCGTCTCTCCTCAGTGCCCTCAGAAGATCGATCTGCCAACCCTGCCACTCATGGTGCTTCAGGGCACAGCGGTCTCTGGCGAGCGCTTCTCTCAGTTTCCGCCCGGGAACGTAGTGGTACTGGGAGGCTCGCTACCTCTTCGGAGGTTTCCAGAGCAGCTAGTTCGGCCATCCCCTGCCGGTCTGCCGCTTCAGTGCACCAAGCTAGCCGCTCTCATTGCACCAGAGGTAAGTCTCGAGAGTCTGATTCCCTCAGTAGACTATTTGGCAGCGTGGAAACTTCTGCTAACTGTGTCTCAATGGGTCCTGCATACTGTAGAGGGAGGCTACCGAATTCAATTCGGTTCTCCATCGCCTCGTTTTTGTGGGGTTCTTCCCACTCTGGTGGGCCCTGAGCAGGCTCTGGTAATGGAACAAGAAGTAAACACTCTCTTGAGGAAGGAGGCCATCAAGGTGGTCCCTCCTCATGACAGAGAGTCAGGGTCTACAGCCGGTACTTCATCATTCCATAGAAGGATGGAGGGTTGCGTCCCATTTTAGATCTGCATCAATTGAACCACTCGGTCATGCGACTGAAGTTCAGGATGCTCACAATCAAACAAGTTGTGTCTCAGATCAGCTCCGAGGACTGGTTTGTCATGATCGATCTAAAAGACGCATACTTCCATATCTCCATCCTTCCCCAACACAGGAAGTTCCTGAGGTTTGCTTTCGGGGGTGAAGCCAATATCGGGTTCTTCCGTTCGGCCTGGCACTCTCACCCCGCACTTTCACGAAGTGTGTGGATGCTGCTCTGGCTCCTCTGCAACTCCAGGGCATCCGCATACTGAATTATACCGACGATTGGTTGATATTAGCTCAATCAGAGCGGGCGGCGGTTCGGCATCGAGATGCCCTTCTCGCCCACATGAAAGAGCTGGGGTTAAGACTAAACGCCAAGAAAAGTGTGCTTTCTCCAGTACAGAGAACCATTTATCTGGGCATGGTGTGGGATTCGACCACGATGCAGGCACGTCTGTCTCGTGCTCGGCTCGAGTCGATCCTCACAGCAGTCATGAGAGTGAGAGAAGGCTGGTCACTCACTGTAAAGCAGTGACGTGATACTTTTTGGCTTGCTGTACATGAGACCCCTACAATGGTGGCTCAAGACCAAGGGGTTCTCCCCGAGGGGAAGCACGCTTCGCATGATCAAGGTCATGCGGCGATGCCTACGTGCCTTAGACATGTGGAGGAAACCTTGGTTCTTGTCTCAGGGCCCGGTGCTGGGAGCTCCTTGTCGCCGAATAACGCTAGCGAACGGACGCCTCTCTCACCGGTTGGGAAGCGGTCATGAGTGGCCCGTGGTCTGTGGAGCGGCCACCATCTCACGTGGCACATAAACTGCCTGGAGACGATGGCCGTGTTTCTAGCATTGAAACACTTTCTCCTGGACCTAAGAGAACGCCATGTGTTGGTGCGCACCGACAACACAGCGGTGGTCTCTTACATCAACCACCAGGGAGGTCTGCGTTCGTGCCCCCTTTTCAGGCTGGCGCATCAGATCCTTGTGTGGTCCCAGGGGAAACTCCTCTCGCTGAGAGCAGTTTACATCACTGGAGATCTCCATATGGGAGCAGACATCCGAGGCAGGGGCCCGGGGAATGGAGCTTTCACCCCGAGGTGGTGAAGCAGATATGGAGAGTGTTTGGCCAGGCTCAGGTGGGTCTGTTTGCGACTCAGGAGACATCGCGCTGTCCCCTCTGGTTCTCTCTGACTCTGCCATGGTACAGACATGGCCGAGGCTTCGTCTGTACGCCTTTTCCCTGATCGCTCTGCTCCCAGGAGTTCTGGAGAGTGCGCCGGGACGGGGTCCGTCTGTTGCTAGTAGCCCCGTTCTGGCCGGGCCAAGTATGGTTATCGGACCTGATTTCCCTTCTTGACGGCTCTCCATGGGAGATTCCCGTGAGGAGGGATCTCCTCTCACAGGCGGGTCCCCCCCCTTCCCCGCCCAGAGTGGTGGAAGCTGTGGGTGTGGCCTCTGAGCACAACTTGCAGCTTCCGGTCTCTCAACCGAGGTTGTTGGGACCATT